TCTTCTAGTTGCAGATCCTTAACACTTCAGGCTACCGGGATTGGCAAACTCAGTGATGGAGAAGGAACGTGGGAAATCATATAGTCTATTTGTAATAAATACATCCGTTTTGTTTTTGACACAGAGAGGACCTCACAATACATTTGTGGAGCTGGATTTGGGGCATTTGAACCCCTCCCTCAAAGTTAAGTTAATTCAGCAAATGTTTCTTGAGCTCCTCCTCTGAGACATCTACCGATGAAGGCACAGCCCCTCCCTCACATGGGGGTCAGGCCAACAATTACACGCCTCCAGTGCGAAACACTAAGCAAGAGTGTGGGCTGTTTCCTGGGGCAGAACATCCTTCAGCCCAGACTCAAAGGATGAGTCAGCATTTGCCAGGCAGACAGGAAGGAGGGACATGCCGAGCAGAAAGACAGACAGGTGCAGGCCTGGCGCGTTGTGTATAATGGAGTGGAGGAAAAGGGTGTGGGTGTGATGAGACTAGGGGGGCAAGTGTGGTCAGCAAGGGCCTTTTAAACTATGTTCAGGAACCTAGAATTAACCTTAAAGATCAGAGAAGTTAAGCCTGGCCGCAAATATTATCACCTGGGAACATATGAAAAATGAATGCCCAAGCCCCACCCCTGACTAGCTAGGCCACGCTTGTGAGGGTGGAGCCTGGGTGTTAGCTTTTTTTTTTTTTTGAGGGGGGAGGTACATTTTTAAACTGTATTGTTAAACTTTTTTTGGGGGGGTAGTAATTAGGTTTATTTATTTTTATTTATTGATGGAGGTACCAGGAATTGACCCCAGGACCTTGTTGTGCATGCTAAGTACACACGCTGCCACTGATCTACACCCTCCCCCTGGGCATCAGTATGTTTTTAAAAAATGCCCCAGGTGATTTTACTGTCTGCCCAGAGTTGGGACTCACAGCTCTAAATAAGAGGTCTGCAAAAATTTTCCTCTAAAATCCAGATAGTAAATATTTCGGTTTTGTGGGCCATACGGCCTCTGTTTGCAACTACACAACCTTGCCTGTATTAACAAAGCAGCATTAACAAAACGTAAACAAGCGAGATGGCTGTGTTCCAATAAAACTTTCCTTACAAAAACAGGCAGGGCCAGAGTTTGCCAACTCCTAGTCTAGATGACGGAACGCCACTGAAGAATTTTTAAAATAACGGATTGTACAATTTTGTTCATATTTTATTGTTTGTACACTATATTAAATAACATATGACTCTATTCTCATTGTAAAGGAATCGAAACAACAGAGACAAAACTCAAGTCTTTTTTGTTTGTACGTTCAATTCTCAGTCCCCTTCCTGGATGACAGCTGTTAGCAATGGGTGTGTATCCTTCTAGAACTTTCCAGAACTTTCTCCTTACATTTTTGTGCATATGTATCTACCAGAAAGATATTGTTTTGCTTTGTAAAATTGAAAAATATATTTATTGCTCTTAAGCTTTTTTCCCCTCACATAATATAATGTGTCTTGGACCATTTCCAATAGCAGCAAATATAGATCTTTCTCATTTTAGTTGTTGCATGCGAACGTACCATAGCTCACTCCACTTTCTCCTGTTAGAGGCTGCACTATTTGAAATTGCCAACCTTAAGCTGTTTTTGTCCCATAAAATGGATCTTTCAATAGCTTCTGTACAATTTTTTGCCTTTACAAGCATTACTGCCACAAGCATCCTGCAACTGTGTGCTCATATGTGTTTCCCTGGAGCAGATTCTGGGATGTTGAGTTGCTGGGTCACTAGGGACACAGTTAGGAAGGAGCCTTCAGTTAAACCACAGACATCAACTCTGACAACCTTCATCAAAAAGGGGGAGTTTAACGGCAGCCTATGGGGCAGCTCACAGAATGGAGAGAAAGGCAAAATACCTGTTAGGCTCGGAACCGGTCATTGGACCAGTGAGGTCCAAACGGTCTCCATGGTGATGCCTGTTCTGCAACCTCTCAGGAAACCACCTGTGGATGAATGAAGTCCAAACTTTGCTTTGGGCTTTGACTCACTCCACACTAGTCCTGGGAGATGGTTGACCTTGTGTCATGGGGAGGGGGATGGCAGAGCAAAAGCAGCCTCCAGGGACCCCATCAGCTTCAAGAATGAGAGGACAGAGCACCTTGACTTTTTGTCAAGACTACATGCAGTTGTTGTCAAGATGGCAGAGTAGAGAGACTCACACCTTGTCCTCTCCCAAAAAAACACCAAGAATTACATCTACAAACCCACTGAATCGCTCAGAACACCTACTGAACTCTGGTAGAATATCTCTCGCTTCAAAATACAAGGGGATTCTCACAAAATCCAATAAACAAGTTCATACTGTATACCACAGAGAGCTATATTCAATATGCTGTAGAAACTTACGGTGAAAAACAATATGAAAACGAATATATGTATGTTCATGTCTGACTGAAGCATTATACTGTACAACAGAAATTGACACACTGCAAACTGACTATGCTTCAATTAAAAAAAATATATATATACACACAAAAAAGACCACGTGCAGTTGGAAACTGGCAATTTTCCAAAAGAAAATCTAGTTACTGTTCGGAGAGAGAGTAGAAGCCAGGAGGCTGCACTGAGAGAACTATTCCTGCACATTCTTACCAACACTCAATTGTATCATCCTTCTAAATTTGTACCAGTCAGAGGGGTAGAAAAAAGTGGTGTTTCATTGTGGTTTCCTGGTGAGACTGAACAACTTTCTCATATTCATTGGTCCCTTGGATTTCCTTCTCCAAGAGTTGCTTCTTCAAATCCTTAGCAGATTTTAAATCAGTTTCTTTGACTTTTAAAAAATTACTGTTCTTTATATGATCTGAATACAGTTCTTTATCTGAGTTATTAATATGTCCTTTCCTTTGAGAGTTACCCTTTAACTTTGTTCATGGTGCCTTGAAAACGTCATAAGGAGGGGAGGGATGTGCTCAGTCTTATGATACAGACCATTTAAGCTGAAACGATGATTACTGGCTACATGTGACCATGGATGCCAGCTCTAAGGTTCTGAGTGTGGTCAGAGCCACGGAGAGTCATACTTATGGGAGGGAGAAGGGTAGAATTGGTTATGCTCATTACAGGCAATAACCTGGAATACTTAGACCCATAAGAAAGAGGCCAGTGATAACAGACACCCGCTGGCTGAGCCCAGGTGGCTCAGAGCTTGCCAGAAGAGGCAAAGGTTCATGGCGGAAGTCAGGTTACCCCAGGCAGCACAGGAAGGACCGCTTGTTTGCCCAGTTATGGCCAGGAGCTTTTCAAAATAACGTATTACTGTTTTAAAAAGCACATATGTAGGCAAAATGCCGTTCCTTCAACCTGATTTCTAGATTAAATCTCAGGAACTCAATTATTAGTAAAGAGAGAGACAAATACAAGAGGAGCTGCACAGTTTGCCAAGCTGTATTTGGGGTTTTCTCTCCGCTCACGCTAAGGAGATCATTATCTTTAGTTATTTATAAGAAACTGTATACAAAACTGACAAACAAAAAGTCTTTTTGTATATTTTAGAGGGCTATGGGTTCTGATTAAAATGGGTTTGAACACACAGCTCTAATCCTTACTAGCTACTGTGGATACTCCTCTCTGATTCTTTTTTTTTGTTAGTGGAGGTACTGGGGACTGAACCCAGGACCTCCTGCACACTAAGCATAGGCTCCACCACTGAGCTATATAGCTGTTCCAGAAAATAAAAAGTGACAAACTCACTTTATAAATTTGACTCTAACTTTCCAAAACTAGAAAAGGAAAACAAAACAGTGGCCTAAGGATTAGAGAGGAAGAAATAAGACTGTAAAACTAAAAAGAAAGTTCAGCAAATTCTCCAGATACCAGACAAATTACAAAAATCAATAGCATTTTCCCACACCAGCAACAATCAGTTGGAAAATATAATTGAAAATAATATACTGAGGAAAAGAGTCAACTATATACTAACTTGGAAGTGTTTATGTAATCTGTTTTAAGATTATTGAGGAAAAATATAAAAGCATAAATGAGAACACAAAAGAAGATTTGAGTAAATTGCATGACATCCAATGATAGCCTGACACAAAAATGATGTCAGTTCCCCCCCGTATAATCTATACACTTGAAGTAATTTTCATTAATATTCTCATTGGATGTTTTGAGCAACTCAATAAACTTTTTCTGAAATTTTCCCCAATTTCTGAAAATTTTCTGAAATTTTCTGAATATGGATTCCTGAAATTTGTGTGAAAGATTAACAGTCCACATATATTAACTACCTCAACTTTGAAAGGAAGACTGAAAGCGGAATACTCAATATAGCCTAAATCTGTAATAATAAAAACCATATGGTTCTGGTATCAGAACCAGGTTTGGCTTTATAAACATGTGACCATCGCAGTCACACACGGCCCCACACATAAAAGGGCTCCATGCTTCATGTGTGATTTGCTGTCACCATCCTGAAATTCTTAATGAATTTTTAAACAAAAGACCCTGCATTTTTATTCTGCATTAGCCCTGCTAATTATGTAGTCAGTCTTGATTAGGATAAAGATTGCTCAAAGATTAAAATAAAAATCGCAGGCTCGAAAGAATGGATTTCTGTCCAATGGAGGACACCATACATAAAGAACTGACAGATAACCGACTGACAGTAAGTAATTTCAACAGCTCCGGTAGACAAGGAACAATATATAGAATAATAAGGAGCTCTTGCAAATCAGAAAGGAAATTCTTTAAAAAATGGGCAAAGGATATAAACAAGCACTTGACAGAAGAGAAAACTTAAATGGCTTAGATATTTTAAACAACAGACATACATCATTGTTCTCCCTCAATGAAGGGAGGGGCTGTGGATGCAAAATGCAGGCTCAAGAGTGCCATCTGAATATATCTGTCTTTTTTTTCTTTTGGTCATTTAAGTCTGAGAGGTTTAGAAGGTGATGCTGAACGCCCACAAATTCATTTTAAAGTGACACACGGAAGCTCACTTTGCCCACTTCTTTTGCTTTGCATTTCAGTGTATGACGCCGTCGGGAAGCTTGGGAGCAATATTCTTAGCGGAAATGTGGACAGGCTGGGATCGTACAGTGAGTGTCTCACCACCCATGCGCCGTCGGGCCGCTTCCGAGGGCAGTACTGCAAGCTTCATGTCCTGCAGGTGAGCCTGGGCTCTGAGCACGCTCTCTTGAAGGACTAGTGAATGCTGGGTTCATGATATGGAAACTGATACCACTCCACTGACTACTTATCTTAACTGAAACAACAAACTATTAAGATATTTTGGGAAAAGTTAAAACTAAATTTAAAACAGTTGGCAGAAACTTGCTTGCATGTTCTGAGTATGGGGCATTATAGGAGGAGGTGTCCACAAACCAAACAGGCCTTGAAATGTTCCTTCTACCACACTGCATAGGACAAGACCTCTGGACGACCTTCTTGGGGAATCCAAGGTCAAGACCTAGCCAATGTTCTTGGGCATTAACTCCTGACTCATCATCAGTTTATGGAAGGGAAGTGGACTTCCCATTACCCATAATCCTTTCCCAGAAACAGAGCTCCAAGATGTGAATTCGAGGTTATCCCAGCAGACGGGTGGGGACATTTATAAGTGCATCACTAAATCAATTGACTGAAGTCACGGGGCTCACTGTCTTCAAAACATGTTAATTCTTTACTGCTGGGGGAAAAATGCCCTAGGAACAGCACAGCCTCCTATGAAATACAAAGATAGACTTTACGAATGCTGCACAACACTAAAACAAAATACATCACTGGTTGGCTAATAACAATTGTATAAAAAAAGGAATCCAAGCTCTCTGATGTTAACGCTATAAAATGGTTTCAGAATGGTTAACCACCGGAGATAGGGAGATTATCAGCCAGCTCCATTTGTCACCCTGAGAATTTGACAACGATTGCTTGGGGGTTTAATCAGTATGTACAAATGTCATATCCTATTTTCAAAGCAGATTAATGGTTTTAATATCGGAGCAAAAGGTCAGACCTCCACAATCATGTAAGTTATGTGTTTAGAAGAGGCATCTCAGCAACTTTTGTTTATAATTTGATCTTTGCTTTATTGGGACTGGCATTCTAATGATTGGCTTGATTTATTAATAAAATTTTTACTTGCTACACTGCATCCTGCTACGAAGAAATGGCAGCTTGGCAAATTTGTTGAAAACTCACTGTAGGAGTGTTAACTCTTAATGACCTGTAACACAGGAGAGGGCTGCTTTGGGGCAGTCTGTCCCACAATGGTGGCTGCTTTTTAAACAGCCAGCTACATTAACCCTTGGAGCATGTTTTTATTTAAATATGGATGCATCTGATGTTCTGTAAATTCACTTGAAATACTCTGTAACGGAAAAGCCATCTCCAAAGAAGTCAGCAAATTTTTCTTCTTCTAGCACCATTTCCCCCCGCTTCTCCCAATCTGCTGGATTCATGGGAAGTACAGCGACAGCCTTACTTAGGACCGAACATGCACATATTCTACAGACACTAATACTAAAAAGCGTTGTGGCATTGTGTTTCCCAGGATGGCGCTGACTACAGCGTGGGCATGTGTGTCCCTGATTCTTGTGCTGAAGAGGATGTGACTGAGATGTCTCAGCTGGGTAGGTCCAAAAGAATAGCCAGTGAAACTATTGTCTCACCATTAAGTTTGAAAAACTCCAACTCCTTAGAGCCTCTTGGCCATTCTTTCAGGATCAAACCAACCTTTCATCCTGATGTATCCAACAAGCTGAGACTAATGGAGTTGGGGCAGGGGCCGTGGGAGTGGACATGGTGGAACAGGAAGGGAGTGGGTTGAAAGGAGGAAAAAGACGTTGACTAGAAGGTAGGAGCTGAATCTTTCTGCAATAAAATTTTAAACTTAATCTTCCCTCACCCTCAGCTGCCTGGCTGAGCCTGAAGAAAGGCTTTGGGTGGTATCTGGTTTCCATATCGTTCGTGTTCTCTGCTGTGGTCCGTGTGTGGCCCAGATACCAAATCCAGAAGGCCCTTCTGAACTGGGACTGTGTCAAGCCAGCATGTTGTAATGGATTAGCATTAAGAGACCAGCATTTGGCCCTGGATGTCACTGCTCAGCTGTGTGATCCAGGGCAAATAACTTAATCTCCCCGTGCTCCAGCCTCTTCCTCTGTACAGGGAGGGGTGGACCGTGCCCTTCGGTCTGCCCCTAACTATCTGCAGCCTTATAATTGCTTCTGACTGTAACTGCGCAGAATGAAGTTTACATGGGAACTGGTTTGATTTCCTTGAACTCTTTCAAAAATTTCCAAGGAAGAGCTAATTTTTTTTTGCTAGTGTTTTTTGTATTTATTCTAGTTATCCAAATAAGAACAAGCATGACACCGTAAAAGGACAACACTCTTTCCCTATGCACGAAACACTTCACTTCCGAAACCAGATGTATGAGTTTCTTCCTCACCGGATGCAGTTGTGACACTATCTGGAGATAGTGCTGACCCCACACATGAAGAGCTCAGTTCCGCAAGCCTCCCCCCCCACATCAGATGCCAGTTGTAAGTAGCGGGTCCCGAGGGTACCTGCTACTTCTGTCCAACCTGGCTACAAATCAGGGGTTCCCGGGAACTCTGATTGGTTCTTGGGATCCTCTCCTCGGGCTTGATAATTTGCTGTAAAGGCTCACAGAACTCAGAGAAACCCATGATATTGCTGGTTTATTATAAAGGATAAAACTCAGGAATAGCCAAATGGAAGAGATACACAGGGCAAGGTATGTGGGACGGGGCACAGGACTTCCCTGCCCCCTCAGCGTGCACCACCCACCCAGCGCCTCGGTGTATTCACCAACCTGCAGCATCTCCCAACCCCTTCGTTTAGGGTGTTTATGGAGGCTCCATTTTTGTCGGAGTGATTGATTAAATCACTGGTCATTGGTGATTAGCTCAATCTCCAGGCCCTCTCTCCTCCCCAGAGGTTGAGGATGGGGCTGAAAGTTCCAACGCTTTAATCACGTGGTTGGTTCCCCTGACAACCAGCTCCCTCCTCCAGAAGTCACCTTATTAGCTTAAACTCCAGTACGGTCGAAAGGGGCTTATAATGAATTACGACAGATGCTCCTCTCACCCCCGTTTCACTCAGGAAATTCCAGGGGCTTTAGGAGCTCAGTCCCAGGAACCAGGGATGAAGACTAAATATAAATTTCTTATTATATCACAATATTACACACATTGTTAAAAGCCCTGTTTTTAAGTGTTGCTATTGCAGTTAGTTTTCAATAACCTTAAATTGTCCTCTGAATTTATGATTATCCCAGCAGCTCCTAATATATTTCTTGTCTATCTTAGCCAAATATTTCATGTGCTATTAAAACGAAAACCAGTTGTTATGCATCAAACTTAAATTTCATTTCTTATTGGAGAAGCCATACATATCCTAGAAACAAAGATAAATTTGCAGAGTTGTTATTAGCATTTCAAGCGAACAAATGACCAAGTGTAATGAGTTCGTGGTCATGGTGATTTAAGAGATGTATCAATTAGCCTGCTTTCTCTGGCTGACGCTAAGCTTATTCGCCAGAGTTGATATTAGAGTAAAATGGAAGGTTAGAAACTGTTCTGGATACAAAGATATTTTGATAATTCTCTTTCTTCCTGGAAAAAGGAAGGGCTCTGATTAGGGTGAGCAGAGCTGACTTGGGAGGATATATTAGTGGAATTTAGTCCTCACTGCCAAGGCGTCCCTCCGGCTTCGGCACAGAGGCAGCAGACAGAAATGGGAGCATCTGTGCCCAGGGGAAAAGGTCCCCATCTGGAAAGGATTTGTTGGCTCTTCCTTCAAGCTTTTTGATGGCGTTGCCAATATTTCCTCTACAGATGTGGGAGTAACCAGCTCAGCAGTAGCTGTTTGTACAGATTTTACTCAGCTGGAGCAGGAGGACAGGGAGTGTACAGTAGAAGACAGTGGCTGGCAAGCCAAGAAGAAATGAACCCACGACAGCAGAGAGAGGGAAAAATATTCTGGGCAGGTCAGAACATACTGCTTTTAGGCAAAAAGCTGCATAGTGTGGTTGTCTAGGATGGTATAAAATTTCAACCAACAGACTTTGTGTGAGTTCTGAGAAGGAAAATGTGGAACACTAGAAAGTCTAGATAAAATTTGGCTGTGATGTTCACAAACCCAGTCATAGGCTGGTTCCCGAACAGTTCATATCTGTGTATTTCAGCACCACTTACTGTAACATTTCCTAGGGTTCCTATAACAAAGTACCACCAACTGGGTGACTTAAGACGCCTCCTCACTCCATTGGACTGGGGTATGGATAACCTAAGCCCCGCCCCCCAGCCCCACTGCAATTCTGGGGCCCCAGACACTCGGAGTGTGGACTAGAGAAGGGGCAGGTTGCCTTGGCCCCACAGCATCTCATCCACGGGGAGGACACAGCCAGAGAAAGGCGCGAGCTATTTAGAGGTTTAAGAGTCACTGCCAGACTGCACAGTGGTATGGTGAGGGAGTGGGGTGGAGCCGGACCGTCATGTTGTTAGTGCCCAGACTGGACTATCTTTGGGGTTAAGGGGGCATTGTTAACCCCATGGATTGACTTCCAGGTCTGCTTGCTCAGCAGAGAGGGCCTGAGTCTCCTGTGTCTTTCTGGGTCTGGACGCTATTGTTTGATGCCTCAGATTCCATCCGAGGACAAAGTGCTGACATGCGGAGGATTCCCCCCGGGGCAGCTGATGCGACGTCTGTTGTAACTTGCTTTAATTGGCTTTGGGGCCAGTGAGGCAGCTCCTCTATGACTTAGATGCAGAAAGACTATCATTTGAGATCTCTGGGGCACTTTTTCCAGCTGCCGTTAAGCCTGTCCTTGGGAAGGGAGGGGTCAGACCTAACAAAAAGCACTTTTGAAAACAATAGAAGGTGAAGGAAACGTAATCTGAGAGCCCAGGGGTATATTGTATCATTTTATTCCTAATTCTGTTGCCTTGTGGTTTTTGTTGTATGGAGGGTCCTACGTTAAAGTTAAAAAAAAAAAGTTTTTTTTTTCAATAGTGTAGATAAACCACAAAGCTTTTACATCTTGCTTTTGGATTTCCCCGTGACCTCCCATATGTGCCGTGCAGTTAAAGGTGACGAGGAAAGTTGTGGCTGCTGTGGCCTCTCAGGATGTCCACAGAAGGTCACCACAGGGAGGAGCTGGGCTTTGCTTTGCAGGTAGAGGAAGCTGATTTTCTCAGTTCATCCAGGGCCATCAGGCTGAGGGCCTGATTCACACCAGCCAGCGGCTCTGGAGTGGGTCACTGTAAAAAACAGCAACAACAAAAACCAACCCAGTTGATTCTTTTAAAATTAGACTAGAACCTCCAAGGGGGACAGACATGTCGGCAGGTCAGTGCACTTCTATTTCACTGGAGGAGTTTATTAGGGAAATTCAAATATTGCCAGGAAGTAGCCTGGGGAGCATCAATTCAGAGCGAATGGAATTGGATGAGAATTCTGCTGCCGCGTCCCCTGAGGGAACCACTGACGGAGTCCCCTCACTTTTGGCCAGGGCTGAGGGCACCTGGACAATGCCTGCTCCTTATCTCCACCCTTAACAGGTGACAATGAAGACTCACAATGAGTCACACATTATTCATCTTTTAGTGGCCTATTTGGACAATTCAGAAACCCTCTGGTCACAACCATGGGAACAGTGGGCGCTGGAGGAGGAAGGGATGTCCAACCCACCCTTCCTCATTACGCAGAAGAGAGAATGAGACTCAGAGAAGTTAAGTGATTTGCCCAGGGTCACACAGCAAGTGGCCCAAACCCAAACCTCCAGAATGCAAGGTGAGGTAGCCTGAGGGAATAAAAAGACTGCCTTCTTCAAGTTCACACAGTCCTGGGGTGACTTCTGGCCCTGCCAGTCAGCGGCAACCATAATAAAGACAGCCAGTGCTTACTGAGCCTTTACTCAATGCCAGGCACTTTTTTTCCCTTTAGATGGAGGTACTGGGGAACCCAAGACCTTGTACATGCTAAGCACGCCCTCGACCACTGAGCTATACCCTCCCCCACAAGGTTAGGCACTTTCTAAGTACTTCAGAGTTCTTGCTACATTTAATTTTCACAGCAACCCTATGAGGTAGGTACTATTATCTCCATTTTCCCAAGGGGGAAACTGAGGTACGGAGCGATTAGACAAGCTCACCCATGGTCAGATAGTAAAGCGTCCCAAACTGCAGACCCTGTTTTCTTAACCTCTGTTCTCAAGTTCCTGACTTTATCCGAGGAGGATTTTCCTTGCCCGTAAAATAAGGTAAACAATAGCTCCTTACGGGATTGCTGACGCGTTAGAAATAATGACCAAAATGCATCCGACAGCGAGTGGGCACTTAATGTAACATTTTTTGTTGTTATAACTGGTGTTGCTATTTGATCGCACCATGCTGTGTCCCCTGTCCTTTGCTGAGATTTTGGTAGTCCCCTGGGCCGGCGGTTGTCAAGGCGTGCACCTGGATTAGCAGCAGGATCTCCTGGGAGTCTGTTAGAAGTGTAAATTCTCAGACCTCACCCCAGTCGGACTGGATCAGAAGCTTGCGGTGAGGGGAGGCAGGCCCTCCACGTAACTCTGAGGCACGCTAAGGTTTGAGACCACTGCCCCCTAGTCTTACCACTAATATCTTCTCAAACTATTTCTCGTGGTGACTACTTAGCTGCATCCCAGGTTGGTGTGTCTTAGCTTCAGTCTCAGACAGCACCTTTTCCCAGCCTGTGGCCTCCATCATATTTTTCCATCTCATATTGCATTTCTCTCTCTGGTGGGGACCTGCTCACAGAAAGACTGGAGTTGGTGGTAGGACTGTCATTCCCAGGGCCGTGTGCTGGGAAAGGGCGCAGAGTCTGGGCAGACAGGATTCAGGAGACCTGTGGCCCACCTCCAGCAGGGCTAAGCCTGGTTCTGTGAGTTTCAGCATGCATTAAAAGCCAGGTGTCCTTTTTAACATCAAAGCTTAATTTCGCAATAATAGACGGCAAAATGTCAAGTATTTACTGCCAAGTAAAGTATTACTAATGCAATTTTGTTTTTTTGTCTCTTGGTAGATATTTTAAGATTCAGAAATGCTTCATTTTTGGCTCCTTCTCTCCCTCTCTTTACAATAAATTCTTCCTCCTCGTCTGTTGGGGGTGTGGCCAGATGTGCTGCTGGATTATTCCTCCTAGACACGTTTGCTGCTGTGTGTCTGTGAGTATGGGCAGCTCAGGGACCTTTCTGGGATGTATATGCTGGGCTGTCTCACCAGCTTCCACTCACCAGCTACACTTAGCCATTTCATTTTCATTCATTGAATGATGTCTGGCCAGTGCTGTTTGTATGGGGGGAAATCACCATTTACCTTAAATAAGAAAATCTGCTAGTGTTCGAGAGAAAGGCTGGCTACACTCAAGTGTGGTGGGTTTTCAAGATCACTGAGAAACACACCCTGTCCCCAAATATTCCTGCTCCTATCATGTGACCAGCGAAGACGGATTTCTTTTATTTGAGGCTTTGCTTCTCCCCCAAGTACGTCAGCAATCTTACTAAGGTGCTTGCACCGCCCCCAGCAGGAGATGCCCGTGTCTGTTCTGTCAGCCTGTCGCCAGCATCCAAAGCTCCCTTTGTAAAAACTAGTGCCAATTTGACAGATAATAAATTGGTTTAATTTACATATTGAAAAATTGGTAATGAGGGTTTTTCTTTCTAAGTTTATCTGCTATTCATACCCCTCACTCCCTTGTCCATGTCTGTGTTAGTTGGGTTCTTACTGATTTTTTTTTTTTTTTTGGTGGGAGAGGTAACTAGGTTTATTTATTTTAATTTTATTTATTTATTTATTTATTTTAATGGAAGTACTGGGGATTGAGCCCAGGATCTCATCCATGCTAAGCACACACCCTACCACTGACCTATACCCTCCCCCCCAGTTCCTACTGATTTTTAAAGTTCCTTCTGTAGATGAAAGATATGAATCCTTAGTCATATGAGCTGCAAATATCTTCCTCAGTATTTTGGCTGCTTTTTGGTTGTTACGATTTTTCCTTTCACAATTGTAACGAGTTTAGTGAAATCTGCTACCCTTTGACTTCGTAATTTCTTTCATTATTTTTTTCTTAGAAAGCTACTGCTTAGTTTACTGTGCAGGAATTATACCACAATAAAGGTGTTTTAAAAAAAAAGCTATTCTTAACAAGGACCTACTGTATAGCACAGGGAACTATATTCAATTTCTTATAATAACATATAATGGAAAGAATCTGAAAAGAAAAATATATACATATGTGTATGTATAACTGAATCACTTTGCTGTACATCTGAAACTAACATTGTAAATCAACTACACGTCAATAAAAATTAAAGAAAAAAATAAGCTACTCCTAACTTTTAAAGCCATTAACATTTGCCTCTATTTTAATAGGGGGCTGGAGTGGTTTTATTTTTCCCTAGGATGTCTTCTCTGCATCTTACTGTGGTGCTGGTGTGAGGTCAGGCTTGGTCACACATATGTCTTGTCCCTGCAGGTTCCTCGCCTTGCTGGGCCTCGCCCTTCCTCTGGCTGGAACTGTCTATGTGGCAGCCACCGGGTGGGGGTCAGACCGCAGGGCATCCCCCGCATCCGAGGCACATCCGGCCACTTATGGGAGTCTGCCTTTGAGAGAGACGGTGGGGAGTGAGCAAGGGAACAGAATCCGACGGACCGGTTGCCTGGCTCATCTCTCACCGTCAGGAACCCCGAGCAGAGGAAAAAGTAAGCATCTCTACAAACCAAAACCGCTCCTGAGCGGTGACTTAGATGACCACGGCGTCAGAAAAGAATCCCTGCGGTGCTGGAGTCTAGTGGTGCCTGACAGAGTCTAAACGCCGGCTGGAGGTTGGGTCTCTGCTCCTCACAACTGAGTCTTTGTTTACCATCAGTGTGTTAAGGCGAGGTCACTGAAAATGCTGCTTTCTTTCTTGGGCACAATTATGCAGTGTGTTTTTGTGCAACTCGAAGACTAGGTCAGAACAGAGGTTGGGTTTCACTCTTGTAATCCCCTAAGGGTCAATTTCATGAGCACAAAGTCTATTTTCAGCGTCACAGCTACACAGATGACTCACAGAGCCTTCCTGGCATCACCGAGGTAACTGACTTCCACGTAAACTGAAGCCAGGGGAGTATGTGTGCGACACAGGGGATTAAAAGACGGCAGAGGGTACCTGAGGCGGAAATAGATAACCCCGTACAGCCTGGTGAGGCTGGGCAGTGAGAAGTCACACCAGATTGTGTTTTAGTTAAAAATCAAGAGTATTACCTTCATTTCCACCTGCTCATATGCAAGACAAAGAAAACATATGGACACATTCTGAAATAAGAATAACCTCATCATGCAAATACTTTTAGAAAATGTGGAATAATTTTTAGCAGAGCCCCTTAAATCCACACAGTTGTCCTTCCTTTACTTCAAAGAGAGGGATAAATATAAAATCAAATTTCAATGCATGGACCAGAAGAGTATGAATCTGTGATCAAGCAGCTTCAGGGAACACAGCCAATGCAGAGGCACGGTGGTGACTTCACCAAACCCTGTTTGGATCTTCAGGCAAAAATGAAACAGCAGTGACACCAACAAGAAACCCCAACAAAGAGAAATATGGGAAAAAGCGTATTTGTAGAGAGATGATGATGTAAGAGCTGAGAAGGCTTAGAGGTTCCAGTGCAAACTCCTTCCCAAATCAGAAGCCCTGGGAACCCATCGCATCGGGAATGTTCATGTCAGACTTCTGCACAGCATCCATCCTGCTGCCCTATAATTTCTACTCTGGGGTGTCAGAAAATAAACCTACTTACTCTTTTGTTTCTTTATAGCCCCATCAGATATTGAGGACAGTTTTGAAGGCCTCCCCCAAGTTGCAGAAACTCTCAGTTATTTCTTACGTGAGATGGTTCAAGAAGTCCCTCTGCTCCCCGGCCGCCATGTGGAAGGTTCCACGGTGGGCACGGCAGACAGGGCACATGCTTGGCTGTCCCCTGGGTTTCTAACTCTGCCCTTGGTCACATTGTTCGACCTCTAGGAACCTCAGTTTCCACATGTGTAGAATGGGGACATATAATGAGATTTGTTGAAGGAATTCAATGAGATAATGTGTCCTCATCTCCTCCTAATTCCTGTGCTCTCAGTTAAACCAGGAGAGGGAGGAAAGGGCAGGGGCTTTAACTGGTCAAGACCTTTCACTGCATTGACCTTGCTGAGATCAGCTGGGTTCCAGGGACCTGCGCTGTGCTCCTCTCAGATGTAGGGTGAGCCTGCAGTCACCAAAATTCACCACTGCTTATCACTGGGCGGCAAGCTAACTCCCAGAGCCCTACGTTTTAAGGCCAGATCGCAGGATTTAAGGCAGACACACCCGGCATGGTGCCAGAAATCAGTCATTAAAATTATAGATTCTTCACCCGAAGTAAGACTCGCTGATCAGGATGCTAAGGTTACGTTAACTTTTTCAGCAGCTACATTTAACTGTGGTCTCAAAATGGGGGGACTCTATGTTCCATTGCTGTAGCATTAAAAAAAAATCGAATACCATCAGAATAAAATATCACATTCCTGAATGTTTGGAAATAAAATCAAGATGGAGAAACCCCCAGGTTTAGCACTTTTTTTCTCTCCACTCACACTCATCAGTGAGTCAGATCAACACAAGACCACTGTGTCTTCTAGCAGTTTAGAGCCAAATTTGGATTCCTTGTTCCTTATCCTCCAAACAATTATTGCATTTGCCTAGAGTGGATTCCTGTTACATGAGCCTGTTCCTTACTATTTAGATGAGAAAAATATGAGTGAATATTTGAGGATGACTTCATGAAGTAAATAGCTATGGATTTCCACCCTCTAGAAGTCGGGGCTCTTACTCTGTGGTCTGTTGCTTAAAGTGGGCTCCTAGTCATAATCATTGAAAAAAATCCAGAAATTCAAAGCATGGTCGCATTTATGGTTCTCAAACTTTGGTGAGCATCAGAATCACCCAGAAGGCTTGTCACAACACAGATTCCCAGGCCCTGCCCCCGAAGACTCTGACTCAGGAGGTCTGGGGCAAAGCCTTTCTTTCTGCATTTCTAACAAGTCCCAGGTGATGCTGAAGCTGCTGGTCCGAGGACCTCACTTTGAGAACCACTGACCATGTGCATGGTTTCATCTGATCCTCCCTGTGCTTCTGTGGCTTATGACACTTTCCAGTTACAAATGAGTGAAATGGGACTCAGAGAGGCTGTCTTCTCTATAGACCAGTTATTTGCAGACAATTTTATAGCTACTGCTGGTGAAGTTCACCCATAAGCAGAATTTAGACGGAAAATATAATAATGACAGCAAAATGTATTCAGTGCTTGCTTGCCAAGTGAGGCATCGGGCCAGATAGTTGACAAGTCTTGTTCTTGAATCCTCACCAGCCCTGCCAAAAAGTGTGCTCAGTTTAAAAGCGAGGAAAGAGGTTCAGAGAGGTTAAGGAATTGGTGGAACTGGGCAGAACCCAAGTCCTGTGATGTTCCTTTGCGACATGTGGCTTCTCATGTAACCCAGGGAGCCAGACACTAAGTGTAGGACACTGCTGATTGTGCTGTGACAATGCCAATTCCCAGTGAGTTAAAATTCCTCTAAAAGGAAGGGTGAGATTTGTGCCGTCAGGCAGGCACATTTGAGAGTGACGCCGATGGAAAAACTCCTATTTACGGCTGGAACCTCAAAATGCGAGTTATTTACGTTCTTCCATTTAAGAAACTGATTTAGATTCCCAGAGCTTGCTTACAAGCCCAATCTCGATTTTAAGTTTCAATTCTGCAAGGACTTCCTGTGTGCACAGTGTTTAAAGCACCCAGCTACACCCAGGAAGGAAAATGAGTCTATCGGAGACGACTTGAGTTTTGGAGGCTCCTGTTCCACAATTCCAGACATTTAATTGGCCCTCAGGGTGAAGCAAATTAAATTTTTTTAATTAAGGGGAATAAGTTAAGGAGAAGGGATTAACCATGCTTAAAGCAATAGGGCTTAAAATAGAGATAGGAGCTGTGACATTCTCATTTGTTTTTCAAGATAATCCCATGTTTATAAAATCTACTTTGATTCCCATTTTGCAGATGTGGAAGTTTAGGCACAGGGAAGTTAATTCACTTTCCGGAGGTCACAGAGCTAACACACAAGAGTCAGATTCAGAGCCAGGAATGTCCAACTAACTGTAAGGCCCGCACCCTTAGCTGCTGCGCCACTGCCCTTCTGTTTTCATGCCTCTGCCTTGACAGGTAGGGATGTTGCTGGCAATAGGTTCATTCTTGGGAGGGCACGAGGGATGCCCTTTCAAGTGAACTGCTGGCTTGATGGAGCAGGCGATTTCTTAATGATGTCTCAGTCTCCCTTCCCGCAACCCTTTGTAAAGCAGGACTGGGGTCAGGCGTTGGCTTCCCCGAGGCCTGAGCTTGGGGAGTGTATTCTGTGTGACATGGTGTGAGCATCAACCTCAGGTCAAGACTGTTCGGGAAAATCAAGGTTCCTAGCGGAGGGAGACCATGTCTAAAGGTCCACAGGTAGATCAAGAGGGGACCATGGAGAAGTGAGTTGAGCAGTCCGGGGTCACAGGGAGGGAGCATCTGGGTGACAGCCATGATCACTGGTTTGCATGTTTTGGCTCATTTGTGGGGCGATGCAGGGATTGGTCTGGCTTTCAGAGTGGACAGTAACACCTTCGCTCCTGCCCAGGGTTTCTAGGAGCCATCGACTGTGCTCTGAGATGCTTTTCTTGGCAGAAGAACATGCCAGCCATCTGGACCACAAAGACGCCAGGGAGCACGTGCTCTGCCCTGAATGGCCTCCGCGTTCTGAGCCTCCTCTGGATCATTTCGGGACACACCAGCCAGATGACCGCGTGGCTGTCTTTGGGTGAGGAAAACCGGTGAATCTTTACAAGCAGTCGAGGAAGAGAGAAGCTTTAGCTTTGTGGGGTGGGGGTTCTTGTTGTACCATAGGACAGGAGCCTGCAGCCTTCCCACGAGTGGCCATTCCTTTTGCTTTAGAGACAGAGCCATGGCTTCCCATACCTGAGTGTTCCAGGCCAACGTCCAGTGGTTCCTTCACCTCCTCTCGGATGTGAATCAGGCACCTGGTTACCCAGGGAACAGTGACAGCTGAGTATTGTATTTTCCTCATCCAAAGAGCTGGGTTCCCTCTCGCCATGATTAATGAATCCGGAAACTTTTTTTTCTCTCCAGGAAAAATAGGCAGGCATAAATACATAAACACTGCGCTCTAGTATTAAATCATTGTTTTTCAACCTTCTTTCTGTTACAACACTCCTGAGGCACTCCCATCAACAGAGTGGTGCTCTCCAAGTGGGAACCAAACTCATATTTCAGAATTGAGGGGAAGGGGCCAGCCCAGGGTCGTCTGAAGAGCATCCTAGGAGACCTGAACCATGATGAACAGGTGATGCTGCTGTAGCCCCAGGGGGGCAGTGGGCCCTGTCAGGGTACAAAGGGGCTCAAAGCCCTGTTTACGATTAGCTATCTCTGTCACCATCGATATTCCCCGTCCAAGTTCTCCTCTTGAGTGAATTACAGGGATGGGTAAAAGGTTTTACAATACAACTGAAAGCTAAAGGTGTTCCTTTGGCTTTTTCTGAAGAGATAAATCCCACGATTCCCTCTTATTAAATAAAAATACACTGCTTTTTATATTTGTTGCAGATAACGTCCTTGAATGGAAAACCAGAGTGCTTACAAACCCACTGTACCTTTACTCGCGGGGTGGCCCGTTCTATCTCGGGGTTGACACGTTTCTCCTGATCAGGTGATGTGGTGTTTTCTCTGCTGTTGTTTGGGGATGTGTGGTTGTGGGTGTGTTGCCTTTCTCACTTTAGTGAGAAAAACTGAACGGCCACATTGACTCACCTTGGCCCTTGCTTCTGAGCATCTCTGGACAGTAGTGTTGTCACAGCACCTCTTTTGTATCTTCAGTTTATTAAATGATTCAGGATGGCTCTCTAAAACGGGCCTTTTACGAAAGGTGATTTTACTTTTTGGCGGGGGGAGGTAATTAGGTTTATTTATTTAATTATTTTTTTAATGGAGGTACTGGGAATTGAACCCAGGACCTCACGCATGCTAAGCATACACTCTACCACTTGAGCTATACCCTCTCCTGCAAAAGGTGATTTTATTTATCAAAATTGTTTGTTTTAGTGGTTCCCAAATTCTGGCCTGTGGCCTGTTACAAATTCATGATAAAATTGCCAGTTCTCACTACAGTGAAATGTGGAGAAAAAAAAAAAAGAAAATGGTGTGATGTTACATAAAGCAATGCTTATTTAAATTAATTACTAAGAGATATAGCTTCTTAATTGAATGATAAACATCAGACACTGTGTTAAGTCTTTGCAGCATTACCTCATTCAGTCCTCCTAATGTTCCTATACACAAGGACAATGGTTAAAGTCCCTTTTTCTGTTGTTGTTGAGGTGAAATTCACATAACATAAAAATAACCACTTAAAGTGAACAATTCAGTGGCATCTAGCACGTTCACAATGCTGTACACCCACCACTTCTATCTAGTTCCCAAACATCTTCATCATCCCCAAAGGACACCTCATACCCATTAAGCAGTTAATCTCCAGCCCTGCCACCTCCAATTCTTAGGCACCTGCTTTCTGTATCCGTGGGGTTACCTATTCTAGATACTTCCTATACACAGATCACATAATAGGTAGCCTTTACGTCTGGCTTCTTTCACTGCTCATGCTGTTTTTGAGGTTCATCGGTGTTGTAGCGCATGCCAGTACTTCATTCCTTTTGATGGCTGAGTAGTAGTCCTTGTATGGCTAGACCACAACATCTCCATTTTAAAGATGAGGAAATGGAGACTGAGGGAGAGAGTCCTGGTGGACCCGTCATCTAAACCCAGGCAATCTGACTCCAGAGCCCATGCTCTGGCCACTGTGCTGGCCTGCCTCTGCCTCTTTTGGGTGAAATCTCCTTTTCTTCATAGGGAGATGGTGATGGTAGATGCCAGCTGTTTTAATCCAATGCTGAGCACTCATCCATCCAACTATGCTCTATTGACCGCCTATTTGCCAGATATTGTTCTAGGTCCGGAGGCTACATCAGTGGGCAAAACAGATAAGGGCTTCTCATGGTGTGTCCATGTGTGTGTGTGTGAGCATGCACATGTAATTGGCAATAAACAAACAAGAAACAACCTGATAGTAATAAACATCAGGAAAGAAACAGAACAGGGGGTTGTAGCTGTTTTGGTCGTTGAAGCCTTGTCTGATGAGAGGCTATTTGATGTAAAACCAAATGGCAAGAAAGAGCCAGCCGTGGGAGAATCAGGACAAGAAAGTTTCAGGCAGAAAAAGCAACTAATATCAAATTCTAAGGCAAGAGAGAGTGAGCCTTGTTAAAGGAGCTGAAGGAAGGCTGATGCCTAGTGATGGTGCAGCAGGAGAAGGTGAAGACAGGAGAGACGGGCAGGGCTGGACCATGTAGGACCTTATAGCAACACTAAGGAGTTTGGATGTGAGCCTTGGTGAACTGGGGAGTCGTGGGATTGTTTTGATTTGGAAAGTAATATGATCTGACATTTTAAAAATGATCTCTTTGGCTCCTGTGCTAATAATAGATCTAAGAAGGGCAGGAACAGAAGCAGGGATGTCGATCAGGTGACCTTTGCTGTATCTCAGATGAGAAATGATAAGATGTGGACCACAGTGGTGATGACTTGAATAGAGAGCCAAGGTCATGTTCAAGAGACGTCAGAGGTAGAACTGTTAGGACCTGTTAATGGATTGGATGTGACGTGTGAGAGAAAGAGAGGCATTGAAGGTGATTTCTAGGTTTTGGCTTTGCTAACTGAGTAGGTGGTGATGGCATTCAGTGAGGTGGAGAAGATTGGAGAAGCAGGGTTTGGAGGGGAAAATCAAGCTTTCTCCTTTGGACAAGCTAAGATAAAGAGACCTTTTAGACATCCACAAGATGTTAAGGAAGTGGCTGGCCAGGTGAGTCTGGAGCTCAGTGGAAATGATGAGGCCGAAGATAGAAATCCTGGAGTCCTTGGGATCCAGGCAGCATTTTAAAGCCATGGTGCTGAGTCAGATCACGTAGGGAAGAGTGTGGAAGGACAGATTAGGGCTGACTCCTAGGACCTCTGGTGTCCCAACCAGTAGAAGCTGGGAAGAAGGGAGAAGCCCCATGGGAGTCTGAGAAGAGTGACCCGTGAAATGCAAGGACAAGTAAGACATCCCTGGGACCAGGAAGCCAAGAGAAGAAAACAGCTCAGGAAGGAAGGGTGTGGTCAATGGCGCTGCCGCTGGGGAGCTGAATATGTAAAGAAATGACCTTTGCATTTGGCAGCTGCTGGTGACCTTGTCCAGAGCGCATCCATGGAGGGTGGACAGGGAAGGGAAAGGATGGGAGGGGGTGGGGAGCCTGACTGGGGAGCGGAGCTAGCCAGCTAATGGGGGTCAGAGAGATGTCGTTAAAGAGAGGAGATACAAGAACATATCTATCTAGGATGTTGGGAATGAATGAAAAGGAGGGACAGACTGATGCGTGCTGGAGAGACTGGTGTTGGCCAAACAATAGAGCAATCTTCTGATGGTGCCTCATTAAAACAATTTTTTTTACAACTCCTTGAAATTCCAAAATGTGTGAACCGCTGGATTAGGAGAGAGCTAACTCCCAAACAGGGATGGCCAACCACCATCCACTTCCTGCAACACTTTTTTCCCTGATGCCTTGGTGGCTTCCTCTCTCTCCTCCTTCAGGTTTTTACCCAAATGTTACCTTCGCCGCACGCCTTCCTTGTCTTGCTTACTTATTCAGTGGAGGTCCTGGGGATGGAACCCAGGACCTCATGCATACTAAGCACATGCTCAACCACTGAGCTCTACAACCCCCAAGTGTCCTCTATTTAAAATGGACCCACCAGCATCTCTACTTCATGTTTCCTGATTTATTATTTTTTTCTGTATCTGTCATACTATAGATGTCACTTTATTTATATATTTATTGTCAGCCTTTCTCCACTGGAATATAAGGCAGGATTTTTTCCTGTTTGGGGTACTGCTGTCACTAAAGCTGGGTGTATAGGGCTGCTCAAGAAGTAGTTGTTGAAATGACTTTGTAATTGCTTTATGACTGGGGCGTGGTGATTCAGAGAAAGTAGGGTACAGAATGAGCTGGGATCTGTTCACTAGGGTGGCAGCTCATGCTAGGAGGTGGCCAAGATGACAACAGAGAGTAGCCCAGATAAACAAGGGTCAGAGTCCACTGTCTGCAGCAAACAAGGCCATGATATGGGAACCACTGGGCACCAGACGTCCCAAGAGGGTGTAGCTGGGTCCAACCAGGCAGTTAGAATCCAAGTTCAGGGTGGGAGGCCCTGGAGGAGGGGGAGGTCCGTCCAGGGGACAGCAGTTCAAAGACCAGAACTCTGTTCCTTGCAAAGAGACTATTAGAACAAAGCAGAAAAGATGCCCTATGCTGGCTGGGACTGATTGGCAGAGCTCCCAGCTTGGGGAGGGAGGCTGGCAAGGACAGATCAGGATGGCTGGAACAAAAGCAAATCTCAAGCTGGAGAATTGCCATGAGGAAGGAAGAATGAAGGGCACAAAAGGCCACTGGCCATCCTGGGGCCATCAGTGGAAACCAGAAACAACAGAGAAACCACTGGGTCAGCCCTGAGACATTCAAAACACAGACCAAGGCTACTGAGACTCCAGATGCCCAAAAAAACAATGAATAAGCACCCCCTTTATGGTAAAGATGACGTACCTGGTACTCGGCTGGGTCTGGGGACTTGGGGAGCGCTGTACTTTTATCAGGGCTTCTCAGAATATGGTCTCAATGCAGTGCACCAGCATTGCCTGGAAGCTTGGGAGAAATGCAGGTTCTTGGGCCCCACCCCAGACCCACTGTGTCAAACACTCTGGCTGTAACAAGCTTTCCAGGTGATACTGCGGCCCCTTAAAGTCTGAGAACCAGCATGTGAGCCCGGGTGTGAACAGCTGAGGACGGCAGAGAATAGAAGCCAGCAGATGCTGACATGGTGTGAGAGACCAAGACACATTTTTCCTCTTTATTCCTACTTGCTTCTGTCCCTCATTGCCAGTCTCAGTGACTGTGTTATTTTTCATTTCTCCCATCAATTTCCACTTTATTTCTTTAGAAAGTGCACATATTCTTTTAAGTCCAATTTTTATCTGAACAACGGAAATATTACTAAACGTGAGAGTAGTACTGCCCTTGTGCTCAGAGCTTAAAATCTTTTACCTCCTATAATTCTCACAATTAACCTATAAAGCCGGAACCAGTATCCGGCCCATTTTTACAGATGAGAAAGTTGATGTTTGGAGATGAAAAACCTTGCCCAAGTCCCCCTAGTTAGAAAAGTTAGAATCAGAACTGAAATGTAAGGTTTGTTTCATGCCAAAACCACGTCTGAACCACTGCGTCACGAATATATTTACACAGTAAGACCAGAGACCTCTGATCATCACTGGGGATGGTTTGGGAACCCGTTTCCACCTCTCAGGCTGACTTCAGACATCTCTGTTGCAGGGTTTTATTCTCTCCCAGCCTGTCTACATCCCTGGGTCTGCTTAGCCTCTCGGAACTAGTTCTCTTGCTTGGAGCCTGTTTTCCTGCGAGCCTTTCTCTTTGTCCTGTCTTTGTGAACTTCAGATGGTGCCCACACACAGAGCGAGACCCTGATTCATTCTTTCCGGAAATTAAGGGGAGGCTGGAATCAGAATTGGCTGCCCTACTTCCACAACTCAGCGCTCTCTTTTACCTGTCTCTGTAAATTCTGTTCCTGTTACAATGAATCCAACGTGCTGCGTTTCAAAAGAAACTCTTGCTGGCAGGGAATAAAGACATTCTCCAACCCTCCCTCACCCCTTCCAAGCCCTGCCCAACACACGTAAGCCTTCTTTTGCAATAGGAAATACATTTGTTTCTTAGCGAAACACCCGCAAGGGTCATTGGTATAAATGTCAAAAGGTTGGGAAACTAAAAAAGTACAGACTTCCAGTTATAAGACAAATGAGCACTAGTGCTAGGGATGTAACGTACAGCACGACGAGCGTAATGAACACTGCTGTACGTTATACACAAACGTTGTTAAGAGAGTAAATCCTAAGTGTTCTCACCACGTGGAAAAAATTCTTTTCTATTAGTTTAATTTTGTATCTATATGAGATAATGAGTGTTCACTAAATTTATTGCGATTATCACTTCGTGAGTATGTAAATCAAATCATTATGCCGTACACCTTAAACTTGTCTACTGCTGTAAGTCAGTTATGTCTCAATAAAACTGGGGTGGTGGAGGAAGGTTGGGAAACTCCCTCATAAACTTGCTGATCATCATGTTATAACCTAAAGGCACAGCCTCATAGATGAACATTCTGGGTAATGAATGCGTCATCAGGATATGTTGTTTAGAATTCGGAGTGGGATCTTGGGCAGCCCACTTAGTGTTTGAATCTCAACTTCCCAGTTAAGTGGGCAGGAATGGTAATAGCTTCCTCTTTACCTAACGGGGCTTTTGATTCATCTACTTGATCATTCACTCAACATTTATTGCCAAGAGGTTTGGTACAGCAGGAGAGGAAAAGCAATACCGTTAGTGTGATACGACAGACACAGAAGGCCTTGACGTTGCTATTTCAAAAGGCCACGTGGTAGTCAGTAGTGTCAATTACCGAACATTTCTGGCTCTCCTCCCTCGGGTTCTTGGTAACGTTCCACTTCCTGGCCCCACTGAGGTTGGATGCGCCTCCTCACTTGGTTTGACCAACAAGTGGTACTTGGTCTTGCAATTATGCCAAGAGCGTTAAACATGTCAGTTCTGGGCTAGAGCATTTACTTGCTGGTTTGAGGCATCTCCAGAACTCTCTTGTCCTTTGTCCTCTGCCATGGTCACTGCTGAGCTATTAGATAGTGGCTGCTCCTTCAGCCCGGCTCCCATATCAGGGAAGATGCTGAGATCAAAGTGACTGACTGTGAGCACGTACCATGAGCAAGGAAAAACTATTATTGTTTTAGGTCTTGAAGATGTGTTGTTACTGCAGCATGACTTACTGTATCTTGACAGAGACAACCAAATTAACCAACCCATGAACTGTATCACTGATAAATCATTCCTGTGACTATTTTCCTCTTTCCCTCAGTGGCTGGTTAAGTGCAAGATCATTTTTAAAGATGTGTCAGGATTCAGACGAAGGAATAACCCCTAAAGTCATACTCAGATACTTTCTCAGTCGCCTTATGAGGTAGGTTATTTATATACTTTCTCAGTTCATTATTGCTGTGTAATAATTTATCACTTTCTGGTCTTTAACTCTCTTTTGAACAAATTTTCAAGGAAAAATAAACAGAGAGAAATCGTTGTCTTCCTTAAAGACGGTTGGCTCTTGCCAGTTTAATGGCTTTTGCCAATGGAGGATATCAGTTTTCATGGTATTTGTCCTAATAGAATTTGAACTATATTAAACCAGCAAGAACATCCTTATTCCTCAGCTGATGGGCAGCCGATTTCAATAAACGTACAGTCAGATTCCCATGGAATCTATGTTCAAGAGAATTTGTATAGCTCCTGTAAATTAATAGTAATTGGATCCTGTAAATAAGAGACTAATGGAAATGATAAAAAATAGAATAAGATACAACCAGGAGAGGGGCTGGTTGAAGCTTGGGACAACGGTCGTTCTGCTGATAAGTAGGCAGAAAGGATGATGGTTTTTACAAATGTGTGGTTGGTTGGAGCAGAAAGAAATAAAATATTGGGACAGAATATGGAACCAGTGGGATAGCAGAGTGGCAGTGATGTAATGAGATGGTAGAAGTTTAGAAGATACAGAAACTTCAACGCATATAACCCAAACTCTCCATTTAAGTACTTTCTAAATTTAAGTGAGAGCCTGGCTCTCATTATTTAAGGTCCATGGCTCTCTTGTTACCCTGCGCTGTCACAAAATAGGAAAGAGAGTGTTGAAACATTCTTCTGGGCTCTTCAAACGGACTGGGTAAGATCTGACTCTAGTCTGCCTGGGCTTGCTTTCTGGCTCAATCCTTTATCAGCTGTGTGACCTGGAGTAAGTGTCTCAACCTTTCTGTTCTTGAGTTTTCTCATCACAAAAATGAAGAGAAAAATGGCTCTCACTTTACTGGACCCTTGTGAGAATTAAATGATAACGTGTGCACAGAACTTAGAAAAATGTAACACGTAATAAGCCCTCAATAAATATAAGCTATCACCATTTCTGTTGTTATTTATACCTTTTAACTTCTCCTGATAAGAGGTTAAGAATGAAGGAATAGAACTTTATTGATTTCTTTTCACTATGGCCTTTGTGGTTTCTTCCAAGCTCTATTAAATCTAGTCCTTGTGCTGAACGCTTGACAGAATGCTTATTCTTTCAATATATTTGGGTACGTGGCACTGGATTGAGCAGCCCATCCTGGCCCTTGGTCTCTTGGAGGAGAGGGAGTGGCATTCAGATCAAGGGTTCTTAGTGATCAATGCTGAGATGAATTATTAGGGGTTGAGGTGCGGGCTCTAACGGCATGGTGGGTTCTGCCTGGGAAACTTGCTTCAGAAGAAAACAGAAGAGACTGAAGTGCAACCAGCAACCACACTTCACGTTCCTTCCCTTGTAGCTCCCAGGGCGTGGCCCACCCAGCGACCTCCACCCACCCCACTGGCCCCAGTGCAGAGGCTGCATTGGGCTAGACACCGCCTGTACCCTGCTCCCTCCTGAGATGCACTCTGGTTCAGAGGGGAGCAGGGGGCTGCCTTATTCTCCCCAGGGAGAGAGAGGTGACAGATGGTGGGATGGGAGGCCAGGGACAGAGGCTTGTGGGAGCAGCTGCAAAGCATCGTGGTCAGATGGCTCATCTGGCAGGACCCAGGACCCAGGGAGGGCTCTGTGGCTGTTGCCTGAGCTGATCTGAGAAGCTGCATCTTAGCACAGTTGGGCCGCTCAGTAATTTCAGCCCTGTTCCTGGGTACCCACCACTCTCCCATCTACCCGATGCTCTCGATGAAGAATGTTCCCATTGTGAGGAGGACAGGAAGCCTGGTGCAGACCAGAGGCGGGTGCTGACTGACACCTCTGCTGCGGGTTACGCCTCCAGCCGTCCTGCCCTTCCCGGGCCCTGACGCCCCTTCCGAGATGTTCGCAGGTGCTGCTGGCCAAGTGCTCTACCCGTTGAACTACCCTGGATTTTCAAATGTGTTCTTTAAAAAAACAGGGCTCTGATCACAGCCCACC